TATATATATATATATATATATATATATATATATATATAACAACAATAGAACTGTTCAAAATTATATCCACAAAAATTACAAAAAAACAAAAAAATTACAAAATGATAATGAAATTCAGACATATTAACTGTCCAAAAGTGTTCAAATACCAATAAAATAAAATAAAATATTTATTGCGAATGCTCCTTTATTCAAGGAACTGCTGAATCAAGTCTCTGGAGAGGTGGTGCCACACCATCAACTACGAAATGGCCATTACATTGTCACATGCCAGTGCATTACGCAGTTAGAGCAATGATGTTCTTGTCATCACATATCGAACAGAACAATGTCTCGTACTGCTAATGTCAGTTGCTCCACTTGCCAATTACATGGTATGGTGGTTCACGTGTTTGACTAATATAGATGCATGGTTCTTTGTAGAAGGATCGAAACATCCCCAACTGCACTCTCTTTGACACAGCCAGTGTTGGGTTAGTTACTCAAAGAATGTAATATATTATTCATTACTACTTACTCCTTTCAAAAGTAATATTGTTACTTTACTTACTACTTTCTGGCAACATTAGTTACACTACTAGTTACATTACTTTTTCTTCACGCCCCACATAAGTTGTAACTGTGTATCTTCCACGTAAATTTCTTCTTACTAACAACATATTTCTGCCTCATCATTTGACCAAAATCCACATTGGATTGCAGTTAGAAGTTATTACAAACACTCAATAGTGATTGATAGTGACATTCAAGTAGAAGGGTTGTAATCTCATTAATCTCATTAATTGTCATGTGTAGCTTGAAGCTAATTGTAATTTCTCTGTTATCCATATACTATTATATTTCATTATGTATTTTATCAAATCACATAAGTTTGTAAGAAACTGTTTAATTTTCCAAAACTTTCAATTATAGTAATATAATGTACCACATGCCGATCAGAGGGATGTGGGTGGGATGTAATGCCAGAGTAAAGTATACCACAACTTACACAATAGTGTTCAGATCATGTTTTTTCCTGACAAAATCAATATAATTCTATCTGCTGAATGTAAGCTTTTCCATATTACAAGCTTGCCTGCAGCACTGGGGACATCACATGCATGTGCGAGTCGTGAAAATTATGATTGTTGGATTATTTGATTGTTGGATTTTAAATCAGCGGGGGTTGAGGCATCAAAAGTAACTAAGCTGTTTTATGGATGGTAACTGTAATATTATTACTGAAATCTTATTAGCAATTAGTTACACTACTAGTTACTGCAAAAAGTAATATTATTACAGTAACTAAGTTACTAGTAACTAGTTAATGCCCAACACTGCACACAGCACTCCGTTTTTAGAAAATTGTCTGCAGGTGTATCAGTAACTGATAATATGATGCTGCCTGTAATTATTCATAATTATTGTGACAAATTGTTATTCAGGCATTTTTGCAGGATGGTTCGGTCAGACTCCCTCTCCTCGTTGTCCTCTTAATTGCACATTGTCATTTACCCTTGACTTCTTCCATAATGTCTGTGGTGGGGTGAAGACTGCCACATGCCTTATTAGATCCATATGAAATCATCCACACACACACACACACACACACCCCTAGAGAAAATAAGAACACTGATCCTCTTTCAGTCATCTGGACTTTGACTTTGAAGAAAACATTGAATTTTGTGGGAGAAAAACCTAATACATATGCAATGCACGTGCGAAGCATTACCTGTCAAATTCGCCTGTTTTCAATATTGATGATTATAACAGCAAATCAGCATATTAGAATGATTTCAGAAGGATCATGTGACATTATTGAAAATTCAGCTTTGCCATTTCAAGTATAAATTACATTTAAATATTAAAATAGATGAGTTATTTTAATTGTAATAATATTTCACAATATTACTGCTTTCACTGTTTAAATCAAATAAACAAGCATAAACTTCTTTCAAAACAATCTTACTCAGCCCAAATGTTTGAAAAGTACACACACTTTCTATTTCGCCCCATTACTGTACATTATACAAATCTTAGCCACCCACTAGCTGTTATTATATTTGTGACTTGTGTGTTTGTTTCACTTGCATTGATTCACTTCAAATGCTGCAGGCATAAGCGACACAAGCCTGCTGATCCGTTCATCAGGGCCCCGACCGCCGACATGGAGTATCCAAAAGGTAAATATTGTTTCAGTGACACCATTTTTAATGTGGAAGAAAAGTTCTTAATTATGTTCTGCACAGATAAACCTATCAACATCCCACAAAGCTTTCCTCCTCCTTTCCCTCCTGTCTGGTCATTTCTCTCTTTCCCTCTCTCTCTCTCTCCAGTCCCTCTCCTCTGCCCCTCCACGCCTGGAGGAGCAGGGAGATGCGAGCCTCAACGTGTCTGACTGATTACTGTAATTCATACACTTTAATTAGCTGCACAAACCATTAGCCACAATTAGACTATTACAGAATGCTTTGTGGCAGGAGCAAGCCTGAGGAGTACGTTTATCTGTTGGAGGGAGAAAATGGAGAGAGATACAGAAGCAGAGAAGGGGGAGGATGAGCTTTCAGTGGAAATTCACACAAGCGTGAAAATATTAGACCGAGCACTGATGCAGGGGTGCTAGCGAATTCAAAAGAGCTAATAATTTGAATGGCACCTTAAATGCAAACATTAAGGCGTTGGGACAGCCAATCAATTTGTTGGTTGTCTGTAAAGTGAGCCTTATTGTTAAAGACAGTGGCTGTGTTCCAAAACCTAGCAAGCTGCCTTGGTGTCTAGTAGAAAGACCACTTCTCAGGCGGCATCCTAACTAAAATGAAACCATATAGTGACAATTGAGAAAGCAGAGTAACGCAGAGGTCCTCACAGAGATTCAAATAAAAATGCATTTCAGCATTTCAGTTTGCCATTAGCATGTTGCTAAGCTAATACTGTTTACATTACATTCAACACCAAAGTGCTGTTAACAAAAGTTTAAAAGTTAATATATGTACCACAGTCCATCAATTAACATCTTGTGAAGCGAGAAACGGTGTGTTTGTAAGAAACAAATCCATCATTAAGGCATTTTAACTTTAAAACATCACTTCTGCCCAAAATGCCAGTCCATAATCCATAAAAATGCTTACTTTAGTGAAAAAGTTCATTACCTGTTGTCATCTCATATCAAAAATCCACTGAAATATTTGTTTAGGACTGGTTTTTGGACTGTTTTTGCTTGTAATCGGTGCTTGATCGGTGCATATTTTGTCTCCCGATTCAGATGAAACAATGTTTTCACTGGAGGAAGTCATATTATGGATAGATTGGATGATATTTTAGCTGGAAGCAACAGTTTAAAGATTAAAAGGGACTTAATTATGGATTTATTTCTTACAAACACAGCTTTTTGCTTCATAAGACATTAATTGATGGACTGGAGTCATATGGATTACTTGTGGAGTATTATGATGTTTTTATCAGCTGTTTGGACACTCATTCTGACGGCACCCATTCACTGCAGTGGATCCATTGGTAAGCAAGTGATGTAATGATAAATTTCTGTTCTGAAAATGAAACTCAGCTACATATTGAATGGCCTGAGGGTAAATACATTTCATTTTTGGCTAAACTGAGAATATTTCAGAAGAAACTAGTGTTCACAATAGCTTGTTCAGTTCATACTGTCTGTCCCTTAACTCTGGAAGAAACAAAAACAGAATAACATTTATATGCAATATTAAAAAAGTTCCTCCTTGGTTCACTCAAGATATTTTCCTCTACCACTTTCTCTGTACACTGTCAGTGATGACTTTCTTTTATCTATCATGTCCTATTTATGGCTCTGAGCTCATATATGAGAGGCTGTTTACAGTAGAGATAATGTTGGACCACGAAGGCTTTTACTCAGACAGATATGAGAGGGAAGGGTTGAAGTGCTGGGCATTGCACCAGTGTCACTAATAAGCTTCGCCAAGCAGGAAAGAGGAACATTGAACAGATGCAGCGCTGCATTCAGAAATCTAAACCTGAGGCACATGCCCCAGTGCTCTTATAAATTTTAAAAACCGATCGAGACCTTTAAAGGGCAGGGCTTGGCCCGCTGCGGAGAGAAGCTTTTTCTCTGTTTCAGGCTTGTCAGAGCTAGTGAACTCAGTCATCAAAAGTACCACCATACGTCACCTCACCGTGAAACTGAGTTTTCCCATGTCCCATGGTCTTGCAGGTAAAAGAGTTAAGTGACCTTACTGTGAGGAGAAAAGTCCAAGTAAGGTTATCCTCAATCACAGAGTCTGTCAAGTAAAGTCCCTAACTGTTATTTGCTAACAGTCTGGCCATTTTTTATATCAATTTACTTCTAGCAAGACATTTTCACAGATGTTTCATCCCAAGTGACCTAGACTTTTTACAGGGACAATTATTGATGGGAATTTTGACTCACTTTCACAAATGGGTTCAGTAAAAGTACCAGGTTAAAAGTACCTTATACAGTACAGTTCAAAAGTTTGGGTTCAGTAACTTAAAAAACAAAATGAAATTAATACTTTTATTCAGCAAGAATGTATTCAACTGAGCAAATGTGACAGTAAATACATTTGTAATGTTACAAATGATTTCCATTTCAAATATACTGCTCTTGTGAACTTTCTTTTCATCAATAAATCCTGATTTTTCAAAGAATTATTAAGCAGCACAACTGTTTTCAACATTGATAATGAGAAATGTTTCCTAAACCACAAATCAACATATTAGAATGATATTTAAAGATTTATATGACACTGAAGACTAAAGTAATGGCTGCTGAAATAATGATAATGATAATCATTATTATTATATTATTATTATTAGTATTAGTAGTAGTAGTAGTAGTAGAAAATATATTATTAATAATAATTTATTATTATTATTATTATTATTATCATCATTAATAATACATCATTTTCATAATATTTTATAATAATAATACAAATATTACTTTTAATAATAATTATTATTATTATAATTATTATTATTGTTATTATTATATTTCTGTATATTTCCTATAAATCTATATTGCTATATTCCTATATTAGTAAATCTTTCAACAACAAAAAAACTCGGTATTTGTCTTGGTAAATACAATTTATATGAATTTCTTTAAATTTTACATTTTACATTCTACTTCCTTACATTCAAACATGAATTGAAATTTAAATAGCAATTTTCTGTATTCTAGTTTAATTCAAATTCAGAAATTGAAACCTAAAAGTCTTTCTCCATTCAGTTCTGAATGCCATAAAACCCAAATGCATCACATCAGCTTCACATTATTCTCAAATAACTTACACATGTATTTTCTATAATAATAAACCATATTTAAGATGGGAACTGACAGAACATTGTATAAAACTCTGATCTAGCTCAAACTTACTATACTTAATCTTTCATAACACGCCGTGTGTGATGCCTACATACAAGAAGAGTTTGAGCCGAAACACAAGTCTCAAGAAGGGCAGATTAAATATTTCATCAAGACATTTTTGGCCCTGGACTGAGTGATTTTGGTTGGTTATTGCAGGCAGCACAATCTGTTGGTTGATAGTGTCAGTTACCATTAGCATCACAACGGGCTAGATGAGCTCCAGTCTGTTGTTCAGCAGGAACCTTTAGTGAAATCACTGTCAGGCTGAACCGCAGGGCTGCATGTGGTTCCTGACGATCCTGTGCAATATTACCGCAAGTTTGCTTGGCGGTTTTAGCGATATGCTGACACAGCGAGAGCTCCAGCAGATGCATCACATGCACGGGTCTGTGTCAGCCAACCTTTTACCCTCGGCACATCTACAAGGAGTGGAAGGAGGGGTCCGATTCTCCAACGCTCCATCAAACAAGCACTTCATTCCCTCCACCCTGAAGGACAGAGGTTTAATAACACAGCTAAAGGGCTGAAGCCCAATATACAGCGCAGCAGATTATATGAACGTAAAGATGCTGACGGACCAAAGAGCTGACACAGAGCCTGAGAAGATAAGTAACGTTATCTGTAAGTAAAGATAAGTAAAGGATGCCATGGAAAAGAAAAGAAGGGAATTACAAAAAATGCTTCTTGAGCAGTTTTCTAATCTGGGAGAAAAAGAAGAAAAACATTGTAGCGCCAGTTCTGGTTGTAGTAAGTCAACATACCCTCAAGTGCTCCTAAAAACGGCTCTACACTAATAATCGTTTGCACTCGGGTCTATCCACTATAAAGATGGTTATTTGCACCCTGACTCCCTCCCCTCTTCGACCTTGAGTGATGGTCGGAGCCGCGAGTGGGTGTATGCTGTAATGTAAAGTCGTTTCTTTCTGACTGGCTGGTTGTTAGAGATCTTCTCCGTTCAAAGCAGAGGCATCTGCAGTGGTTCTTTCTGGAACAACTTCAGTGGCTGAACGTGACTCCATCTTGCCCTGTTCTCACTTGGCTACATTGCAATTGTCTGGTTCACTAGAGCCTGTCGCTGTGTGGGAAAGGTCTGCGTTTTGATGGACAGACACTCTTGTGCATCTGGCTGATCTCCCCCCGCTGAAGCCGGCAGATCCAGCCCTCAGTTTATCTAAACATATGAGACCATCTGCAGTCTCGATAAATCATAAATCAATAAATCTAATGATAATCATTATCATTATATTGTTTCTAAAAGAATATATTTTTATGCTTCAGGAATAAAAAATACTCTGAACATGTTAACAGTTTTAACTATAGTCTGTTCTTGCATTTCCATTTTTGCCTAAAAAGAAAAAATATAAATATTAATTGTGTAGTTATGCATAAAATAAATTTTATAAATACAACAGTAAGCAACAACAACAACAGTAAGCATCATATGCCTTAAAAGCATTATATTATTGGTCACTTTAAAGACTCTTATTTCCAATTATGCTCTATTATTTCCAGTTATGGCTACATTGTGGCAGCAGTAGGAGACAACTTTTAGTTAAGAATCTTTACTACAATTTCACAAAATGCCTGTTATTTAAATTTGTATAAGAAATATGTGTGTTCATTCAAATAACGGTTTTTCTATGAATTAACTAGAACACAGTCCATTTCTACTCTGTTTTTCCTTGGGACAAAGAGTGGGCTATCCTTCTCACATTCCTGGGGGGTCATAAAACCAGTGATATCATGATTAGTTGTCATGGTGACCATAGCGCCTGGTGTTCAGCAGACATCCTGGCATCCAGTTAATTGAGTGAGGGGACTGTGACGATTTGTTAACCTAATGAATAATTGATTTGTTAAATCAAATTAAAATTAGTGTGTCAGATTGGTCGAGACGCTACAACATTATTCTGCTACAGAATCCTCTCTGAAATATAGCTGTTCATACCAGCTTGTGGTGAAGCACAACATGGCCAGCTCAACATTTGCTTTGCGAGTCATAATTTGCAATGTTTACACACTTTATTCACCCACCCACCGTCCCAGGAGGGTTGAGAACAAAGTCGGGCATTTCATGAGTTATATTTTAGCTCTGGGCACTGTCTCAAAATGCTCTGAGCAAATACGGGTTACCTTAATGGAACAGCACCTGTATAGTTTGAAATTCAGTTCCAAACCTTGATGGCTGGAGCAGAGGCCCGGGAAGAACTGCTGCTTCTTGCTTCCCGAGAGCAGCCCATTGGTGGCCTCAGGCAAGGACAGGCCACACATCCTCTCTGACCCCCTCTGGAGGTGACCCTGCGATATTACCTGCTGCGTAAAAAAGCTTTATGGGATGCCAGGACAGTGTGTATCAGGGCTTCAAAAAGCCGCCCGGGGGGAGAATTGTTTTGAGAAAAGCTCAGGTTTAGAGAGCTCTTTGAAACACAGAGATGGTGGAAAG